CTGAGCGGTGGGTGTTACCTTCTGACACACTTCCGGTGATGTCAGGGGGTGTGGCATATGCAAATAAGTTATGCTAATAGGTTATGCTAATGAGCTCCTGCACCTCTTTTTCTACGAAATGACCCCTGGACAAAAGGAAATACTACTTTACACAGAGAGTGATTAAAATGTGGAATTGGCTGCCGGAGAAGGTCATGCCGGCCACAGGAACAAACAGCTTAAAAAGAGGATTAGATAGACCCATGGAAGATAAGTTTATCAGTGGTTACTTGCCATGGTGACTGAGGGGAACCTCCATATTCAGAGGCACTAATCCTCTGAATCCCAGAGCCAGGAGGCAACATCAGGGGAAGGCCGCAGTCTCCGTGCCCTGTTGTTGGCCCTCCAGAGGTACTGGTTGGCCTCTGTGTGAGACAGGATGCTGGACTAGGTAGACCACTGGTCTGGTCCAGCAGGGCTCTTCTTATGTTCTTATGTTCGCGTCTTCTTATAATGTGACCAAAGGATAATAGCTTGAGTTTAGTCATTTTAGCTTCTAGGGAGAGCTTAGGCCTGATTTGATCTAGAAATTGCAGGGTTAAATACGTTATTGTTAAGTCGCTCGCTTAACAAAAGTCGGAGAGTGATTCAGCAAGAACACAGCTTTATTCTTCAACTTGAACACAACTCCAACACGGATCAACATCAGATAACCAGAACAGCTTTTGCATTAAAGCTGTTCCCTTTTTAAACTCTCCCGGCTAATATAGCCACGCCTTTACTGTACATTATCAACCAATGAGATTGTCTTCATAATGACCAATCATCGATGTTCCCGCTCAGGGAGCTTGCTGATGTGCGATTGGCCGGTTCTTCCTGGGCTAGCCATGCGATTGGGTGCATGAGGATCCAAGCCCAGGACGAAGCTTAACATTGCGTTTCTATGAGGTGATTCGCATACGTGTTTAGGCATTCATGACAGCTATTGAATACACTACAGTTATATGACACCAGCTCTCAGAAATCAGAATACTGAGTTCAGCAAAGTTTCATCCTCGTGGTACTTAATTTTTAAAAAGTGTCTAAAAGTGACCTAATCTTTTTATCCCACCTTCCCCCCCCAAGACCTCTAAAACCAAATTTCAAAATGTTCAAATGGGAATCCTGCGTGTTGCCCTGCTGAAAAATTGGAGGCCGTTTCAATTTCTGTATATCTACATGATTGGAAGCCCTTATTCCATTCACCCGGCTCCAGAGCAAAGATCCTGCAGTTCAGAACAGAGAAAGCCAGCGGCTGCCGGAGAGAGAAGAAAACGTTAGGGAGAAAAACCTCACCAAATCACTAACTAGGGGAATGGGTTTTCTCTTGCGAATGTCGGGCATGCTATCAATTATGATCAGCCCTCCTCCCGGCCTAGAAAAGAGACACAAAAAAAGTCAGACTGCACAGAAGTAGGAAGAGATGGGGAAAAGGGAAAAGGGAAACGTGACCAGGACGGGGAGAGAGGGGAACAGGGCCGGAACAGGCAATGAGACGAAGAAATGAACAATCGAAGCAGGCCCCAGAATAGGGGCATTTGTGGCCAAGAGCCGGCCAACCCGATAGCACCATTGTTCCCGATCTGCGCAGGAAGGCCTGGATTCTTCATAGGCATTACTGCCCTCTTTGTGGTTTAAGGGATCTGTTGAGAGTCATTCTGAAGCTGGAATAGCAGACAATTATTTCAAAGGGAGTTAGAAGACTGTTGACAGACAGGCCTGTACCTAGGATTTTGTAATCCGGGGGGCCTTTAAATAAATTGTGGGGGACAGAGGTCACAAAATAAAAAATAAAATAAAAGTTAAAGTTAAAAAACGCACACTCGCCAGCAATGCTCCCTCTAAGCTGTGGGGTCTCGTGAGCAAAAAGTCTACTTTGTGAGCTACATACTTTTTTTTTTTAAAGCCCCACTGTTGCTTCTGGTCAAGCAGGTTTTTAAATGGTAAGAGAACCCATTGAACCTGTTTCTCAGAGGCAAAAACAGGCCACACGTCCACCAGGGATGAGCTATTGGGAAAAATGAGTCATATCTTTTCGATTCTGGGTATCGCTATTGGTCCACCGTTGCCATCATTGACGAGTCTGTGGTTTCTCGTACGTTGTTTTGATGGCAGCGGTACGTCATTGAACTGCCACGGATGTGGAAAAGGTGTGTTAATTTAATAGGAAAAATGCAGCACGAGGAAAAGGAAACTGGTGTGATGGTTTTGTTTCTCACTAGGGAGAAACAAGAACCACGCAGGGCTATTCACATTGAACTGGACTGCTTGCAGAATTCAGTCTCATCCCTCATCAGGGGCGTAGCTAGAAAATTTTGGTTGGTGGGGCATGGGGAAATCTAGGGGGGGCGCCCCGGCCGTGCCTGCTGCTCCTCTTGCAGCAGCAGCAGAAGCAGCTTCAGCTCCACTGTGACCTCGAGTCCTCCTCTAGTCCTTTTGACTGGAGAGACTCGATTCGATTGGAGAGCGGGGGATCTCTGACTCTCTCTCTCATTTGCATTTTGCATTAAAATACTTTTTGCAATTTAATTTAATTTTGTTTTGCATTTTTAAAAACATATTTATTTTTCAGCTTGGAAAAAAAGAAAACGAGCCCAAAGCTTCCCTGACTTTAAAAAGTTTTTTTGTTTGAGGGGGCAGCCCACATCTGTTGGGGGCATTGCCCCCAAATGCCCCCTGTGGCTACAGGCCTGTCCCTCATGTATGTAACATGAGCCGCAGCTTCTCTCTTTCAAAGTTCCACTGGGTGAAGATGGTTCTAATTATCAGAAAAGCCTCAAAGGGCAGCCCTTGGCTGCTTCATTCCTAGCTGAAACGCAAGACATGCATATCAACAAATCCAAAGCTGTCTACGCCAAAAGTTTAGGGCTCTTTTTGTAGCAGGAACTCCTTTGCATATTAGCCGACACACCCCTAATGTAGCCAGTCCTCCAAGAGCTTACAGTAGCCCCTGTAAGAAGAGCTCTGTAAACTCTTGGAGGATTGGCTACATTAGGGGTGTGTCGCCTAATATGCAAAGGAGTTCCTGCTACAAAAAGAGCCCTGCAAAGTACTGCACAAACATCAGTACATTTCTATGCTCGTTGCCTTATTAACTTTGAAAAAGGCATCTTCTTCCCAAGTCTACAATTGCTTTGAGAACTGGGGGGGGGGGGGCATTTTAATGCTGCAATGAGTTTTGTCTGCTCTTCTATCTGCTACCACTGGAGGGGGGGGACCCTATGGTCCTCAGCCCCGAACGATTTGTGTCAGGGCTAAACCATTGGATTTCAGTGTTCAGTGCTTCGAATCACAAATGCAGAAGACAAAACAGGTTCGGAAGTCCCGTTCTGTCGCTGAAATGAAATTTTGCATCACTTCAAAATCCAACAAATTTTCAAAAACTGGTTTCGCTACATTGAAGGGTCAGCCTGTGAATTCTGGAAACTACCCCTTGACCCACAGCCACCCCTTTGAACTGGAGCTAATGGGTGTTTTTTTGTTTTTGTCTTGCTTTGGCTTGAAAGGGGGAAAATACTGAGAATCCACATGCGAAATGAACACACACTGTCATGAAGAATGAAAAAACTCGCAGCTGTTGGGAGGGTTAAAAAAGGTAAAGGTTCCCTTGCTCGAAAGCCAGTCGAGTCCGACTCTAGGGTTGCGGTGCTCATCTCCGTTTCAAAGCCAAAGAGCCAGCGCTGTCCGAAGACGTTTCCGTGGTCATGTGGCCGACATGACTAAACACCGAGGTGCACGGAACGCTGTTACCTTCCCACCAAAGTGGTACCTATTTATCTACTTGCAATTTCTTGCTTTCAAACTGCTAGGTTGGCAGGAGCTAGAACTAGAGACGGGAGCTCACTCTGTCATGCGGCACACTCAGGTCTCAAACTGCTGAACTACTGACCTTCCACAGCCTGCAGTTCAGGGTCTTAACCACTTGAGCCACCGCAGCTCCTGTTGGGAGGGTTATGGAGGAGCAAAAGGGCCAGGCCGAAGGCACCCCTGATCAAATGTCAATTGCTAGGCATCAGGTCCTGTCAAATACAGGGTGTTACGTGTCGGCTCCTGTCAAACACTCACTGCTCTGTATCAGATGTCGTCAAATATCGCTCCTGTGTATCAGCGGTCAGAGCCTGTCAAATACTTTTCTAAATGTGAGTACATTTTAAAATCCACAGATGACAGTCCTGGGGCACATACCTCTGGTGCAAATTGGTTTCAGAACCGTTATATTATAACATTATTAACTATTTATTATTTATTAACTGCTTACGGGGAAGCAGTTTATTTATTTCTTATTTGTTGCTTCCAAGGCACCTGACGTACCCGTTTTTAAAAATACAGCTTTCAATCAGTGGCTTAGATCCTTTCAGGAAACTAATATCTTATTGAAGAGATTCAAAGTCTAGACGTGCACTCAAGATCTGTTACTCACCCGCCTTTAAACCAGAGAGATTTGGATTCCCCGGATCCTTCACCTCGGGCCTGAAAGATAGAAATTACCAACGTTAGTTCCTGTGCTGATGGAAGCACTGCATTCAGGACTCAAAGGCAGGGCCTCAAATGAGTGAACCAAGTTCATCGTGCGAAAAGCAAGCTAAGCCACGCCCTGACAGCAGAGAATACTGCAGGCTCCTCCAGAGATGGTATAGATCCTCTGGGCACCTTTCTCCTCTATTTATGTCAGCTAGGAAGGAGAGAAGGAGGGAAGGTATAGCCTGGTCCTGTCAGATCTTGGAAGCTAAGTAGGGTCAGCGATTGGATGGAAGACCATCAAGGAAGACTCTGCAGAGGAAGGCAATGGAGACCCAACTCTGCTTCTTACTTGCATTGGAAGCCCCTAGCTGGGGCTGCCATAAGTCAGTTGTGACTCGATGGGATTGTCATAGGTACATAAGAAGGACAGGTAATACAAGCACAGAAAAGCACTGCTCTGTCCTCTCCCTCTTTCTAAGTAACGAGCAAAGAGGAATCTTGATGCCGTCACATGAAGATCCTTCTTGTGCAGTGCTCTGTTGAGGGACACGTGCTTCTGCCACTGCTAGAATGCTATTGCTTCTGTGCAGTGTATTATCCACGTTTTATCGTGCACACTGCTAACGGCGGGTTACCTAAAGCAGGGGTGTCAAACTCATTTGTGATGAGGGCTGGATCTGACATAAATGTCACTTTTGGGGGCCGGGCCCCGTGTGCCATAAAATGTAATGCCAAATACTGGAGATATAAACTGTACAAAGGGACAGCAGCTGGTAAGATCCGAGTTGGTGTGTTCTCACTGCAAGGCCTCATGGGCTGGGAGGGGGGGTGTGCAAAGGAAAACCCACGTGGGTGGACTGGAGAGCCAGTGGCGCAGCAGTGGGCAGATGCTCCCACACTGCTTGACTGCTGCAGACAAAGTTGTTCCAATGCTGAAGCCACAATTGGAGCGGCTCCGCCCACTCCCCAACGAGTAGTCTTCTGTTCCCTCCCATGCACTAGTTGCTTGCGGGCTGCGTAAGAGCCCTGGATGGGCCGGTTCTGGCCCCCGGGCCTTATGTTTGACACCCCTGACCTAAAGGGACAGACAAAGGTGGCGACCTGATAACATACAGGAGATGCTTTTCGAATCATGGTATTGTTAGTGATTCAATAAGATACGTTTTCATTTCTGCTACACTCCAAAGGGAAACTAATTCGCTATACAACCACGTATCTCAGATCTTTTCCACCAGGAAATACTTGTGCCTAAATACTTTCTTGATATAGATGTTTCAAAAAGTTGTTGCTTGTGTGCTACCCTAACAATGAAGCTTTCAGGAGCGTTTCGTCATAAGCAGATGGATAAGTGGAGGGGGGGGATTGAAAAATAAAGCTTTTGCCTTTTTGAGTAGGAAAGCTTCCTGGAGCTCAGTTACAAAAGCTCCTGGATTGCACAGCTTTGTTTTTCTAGAGTTTGTGGGCTTGCTCCATGGAGTTTTTATGTACAATACTTGGGCTTAAAATAGATTTAACTTAACCAGCTTCTTTTTTACAGTCCAAGTTTATAGAGTGCAGAAAAATAGTGCAAAAATTATATAAATCAAACATTCAAAACACATAAGCTAAGTGAACCAAAGACCAACATGAACAAGAAGAGAAATGGAAACATGGACAAAGCAGCAAATAAATGAAATGGAACAATTCACACACATACATTAGGAATGGTTTTGAATTTCTCATTTCGGCTACCTTGACCTGAAAATCCCAATTTCAATTTAGCTTCTGCCTTGCAAGATTACTGCTTTCTTTTAAGAGGGACTCTTTAATGAGAAGAAAAATGATGTGGGCCGAGATTGTTTCTTGTTATGGCTCGTTTGCTGCAAACGAGTCTGTCAAACAAACTCATCATGTTTGATGATAGTGATTATAGTGAGTCGATTCCCAGATCAGTTTACTGGTGTAGCAGACATCCCAAAGGCCTCACAACTCGTTAGCTGAATCAACACAGATTTTTGTTACTAGCCATAGTTGATCTCTGGATCCTTTGATAAACTGCTCATGTGTGATGGGTATTGCTAATTACTGACGTGGGGAAAATACAGCTCCCCAGTCTTTTGAAAAAACGCACCTGCGTTACACAGCATGCATGCACGAAGGCTGGTCATGTGTGCAAGCATGCATGCTGTTGTGGTGGATGTGCAGCTGCCCAGTTATTAAGTCGCTCGCTTAACAGAGTAGTCGGAGAGTGATTCAGCAAAGATTCAGCTTTGTTCCACAACTCGAACACAACTCGAACACAGATCAACATCTGATAGCCAGAACAGCTTTTACATTGCAGCTGTCCTGCTTTTAAACTCTCCCGGCTAATGTAGCCACGCCTACTGTACAATTACCAACCAATAAGGTTGTATGCATAAGGACCAATCACAGACGTTCCCGCTCAGGGAGCTTGCTGACAAGTGATTGGTTAGGTGCTTCCTGGGCTACCAATGTGATTGGATGTATTTGGATCCCAGCCTAGGACGAAGCTTAACATAGCATTTCAGTTAGATGTTTTCATCACACATTATGCATTCAATGGCAGCTTATTGAATACATTACACCAGTGAACTCCAACAAATGGTTCAGTGGACACTCGATCCAATCATCAATTAATCAGAGGGATATTCACCACTGGCAATTCTGATGTAGGGTTGCCAGGTCCCCTCGCTGTCACAGCAGGGGGATATGGGGACCTTTGGGGGTGGTTGGGAGGTTGTGTGAGATGTCCTCGAAGCAATGATGTCACCGGAAGTGACGTCGTTGCATTGGTGATGTTGCAAATGGCGCTCTGGTTTTTGGGCAAAACTCTATGATTTTTGCCTTCAAAACCATAGCGTCCCCAGCGCGAGGGTGTCATCTGGAAGTGACATCATCGTGTCGGGGACATTGCACGATGACGTTCCTGTTTGGGGTGGGGTTCCCCCCGCTGGCCAGCTGGCTGACAGCGAATCGAAGCCCCCAAAAGTGGGGGAACTCCCACTGGGACCCCCCGAAGCGCAGCGTGGCTGCGTCACCAGAGGTGACGCAATCACGTCAATCACGTTGGGGGCGTGGCCCGGATCGTCAGAGGGAAAACTCTATGGTTTTCCCTCCGATGATCTGGGCCACGTCCCCAACATGGTCAATGTCGCGCATAACTTCTGGTGATGTGCTGGCAGTGCGCGCGCATCCGACATGATGTCACCGGAAGTGACGTCGTTGCATTGGTGATGTTGCAAATGGCGCTCTGGTTTTTGGGCAAAACTCTATGATTTTTGCCTTCAAAACCATAGCGTCCCCAGCGCGAGGGTGTCATCTGGAAGTGACATCATCGTGTCGGGGACATTGCACGATGACGTTCCTGTTTGGGGTGGGGTTCCCCCCGCTGGCCAGCTGGCTGACAGCGAATCGAAGCCCCCAAAAGTGGGGGAACTCCCTCTGGGACCTGGAGGCTAGCAACCCTATTCTGACATGATCTGAACCGGCAGGAGTTCTGGCATCCCGACCACCAGGTATTCAGAACTAGTTTGGCTTCAACTGACTCCTTACCTAGTGCATCATTTAAACTAATATCAGGACTACCAACATTTCCTTCACCTTGAGGCCTTCCAAGGGACCTGTTGGCTCTGCTGGGTGCCAGAAACTTTTCTGCTCATATACTAGTTTGTTTGTTTTTTCATTTCCAACTGGAGGCAGCCCTTCCACCTTTCTTCCCCAAAACGACATGGCACCATCTTAGGGCTGCCAAGTGGGG